ATCTGTGAGTTAGCCGTGCCCTGACTTAGATCAGCCCAGAGATTGTTTCAGGGTTCTATCGGTTAGTTAGCCGTGCCCTGACTTAGATCAGCCCAGAGGTTGTTCCAGGGTTCGAAAAAATGTGAAGGTTTTTTTTGAAGGCTGACTTAAGAAGGAAAATAATGATAAGAGGAGGACGTTATTGGACAAACTGATCCGAGTCTCCTGGAGAATCTTTTCTTCTCCCTTCAGAATCCTGCTATCCCCTTACATCGATAATTTATAACCAGTTATCAAGAACGAAACAAACACTTACGATTGGACCTTTATCACCAGGAACACCGGGCTCTCCTGCAGCACCCTATAGACAAACAAACAATATTAACAAGATGGTATTTATCRAAATTGATTCCCTAGCTTTCGCACATGGTTAGAAGAGGCTACTAAGAAATGGCGCGCCTCTACCCGTTACGACAAACTGGCAGGCCGCAACAGTATTCATTCATAGAGAGAGATTTCACGGCAGCTATGTTGTTTTTTATATTACAATTAAAGTTGATAGTTCATTGATTGATCGCTTGTTTACCTTATTTCCGGAAGTACCGGGTGTACCAGGGGATCCTCTCTCTCCACGGGGACCCTGTGGCAATCGCATAAAAATAGATGAATGAGTTTTAATATCATGTTATCATGTTATCATGCAAGGGAGTCTGGTAGTAGAGGTCAAGTACGCATGCGTGCAAACGTCCTATTAATAGTTTTGTTACAGAAAAAGCTGTATACATGTAACAACATTAAAAATTCTGGCCAAAAAAAAATTAGTAATTAACTGACAAATAACCTAAAATTAGTAGTTAACAGTCAACTGATATTTCATTATTGTGGTTAATATTATGGTCAGCGCTTGTAAAATTATTACAGTTAACTGACATTCGGCCGAAGAATTAGTTGTTAATTGTCAATTGGGTACACCCCCATTGGCACCCTCATAACTGATAATTGCTTACCCGTCTACCGCGCGGACCACGAGGTCCAGGCTTTCCTGGCTCTCCCTAAAGGAAAACAAATTTTGAAAATCAAATGAATAAATTTGTATTTTTAAATTCAGGAATCTAACAAAGAAAGTAAAGGAACAAGAGTAGTGAAAGTGTATTGTAGTTATTTTGTTTTTACCCTTGAACCTTTGGGACCGTCGCGTCCTCTTGTACCGGGGGCACCGAGGTTTCCCTATGGGAAATAAAGGGGAAAATGAACAAATGAATCAAGAATAAAACGATCAACTAGAAACACAGAAAAAACCAAGGCAAATAGACACCTTCGTTCCAGCTTGTCCTGCGTAACCAGGCATACCAGGTAAACCACGCTCACCCTACGGAATAGCAACAACCAAGTAATGAATGGGGTTAGTGTAGTACAAATGATGAAGAATGGAATTAGACGATGAATGAGGGACGAAATGAGGAAGGAAGTAAGCAATCGAGGAAGAAGGAAAGGATTGAGAGGAGAGAGGACGGGAGGATGGGAGGAAGGGAGGATGGAATGGAGACAGGATGGAAGGGAGGATGGAAAAGAGGAAGGATGGAAGGGAGAGAGGATGGAAGGGAGGGAGGATGGAGGGAAGGGAGGTTGAAAGGGAGGGAGGGATAAAAGATTGAAGGTAGGAAAAGAGTGGAGGAAGGAGGAAAGAAGAAGGAAGAAGGTAGGAATAAATATGTAAGGACGGAATTAGGCAGGAAAGAAGGGATGAAAGAATAAGGGACGAACAACACTAACCTTTGGTCCAGATGGTCCAGTAATGCCAGGTGGTCCCGGTAAACCGGTGCGACCCTAACAAAAAAAGTCACCAATGATAATTACATAATTAATTATTAAATTATTAATTCTAGACCATGTTAGTTGCCTTACAAATGAAAAAGAACAATAAGGGCTGCAATATGTATGATGTCTAATACCCAGTACCTTTGGTCCTTCTCTGCCCTCAGGACCGGGAAGTCCTGGTGAACCGCCAGTTCCCTAGGAAAGATAAAAAGAAACCTCATCGTCGTCGTCGTCATAATCGAAAATTTACAAAACAAACAAAAGTAAGCCTACGTCTTCGCCTCTTGGTCCATCGTCTCCTTTCTCGCCAGGAAATCCGCTCGTTCCCTATGAAAAGAGAATTGATAAACAAATCATTGAAAACTCAGGGCGTCCACAAACACTGGATAATGACAGACAGAGTGTCATGAATTGCTAGAAAGTTAGGTTAATGCACCTCTGCTTGGATCTTGGACAAGTGGGGATTTTTTTCTTTCTTACATTCTTTCTTTCATTCATTCTTTCTTTCTTTCTTTCGTTCGTTCGTTGAGCCCCTCACCAATATACCCCTTGCATGTGACGTCACAACAGCTTAATTTGGAGAGCGAAACAAAGGAATTTCAATCTCCAGAGAATTGGACGCCTTGAATGGTTATGTCCTCCAAATTAAGCTGCATTCCGACGGGCTGCAAGGGATCGATACAGCGCTGGTTCTATGTTTACTGCACGTTTTATCCAGGGGGAGGGAGGTTGGGGTATGAGAGAGGACTTGCCCAACAGTTTTGTTCAAGAGTACAATATTCCTATTGACACACGACACACGACACACGACACACGACACACGACACACGACACACGACACACATACATACCTCATCACCCTTTGCACCTGCCGGTCCACGTTTACCACGGTTGCCCTGACAACGTGACACACATAAACAAAGATAAGTCACGTGACAAAATTTTAATGGAATTTTTTAGGTAAATACTTCATATAGGAACCCCATGGAAAGATCATTCGTAAAATTATACGTTATGCAATTAGATTCTCTCATGGTGGATATACCTTTGGTCCGGGAAGACCTTGATATCCTTGTGGTCCTCTTGGTCCTACTGGCCCCTGCGGGTAGAGAATAGCAGCAAATATGTTATGAACATTATTATATAATATCATCATATACTACTACTACCAGAGTCCATTGCGCACCTAGTTTTATTAGTTCAGAAGTATTGAATATCTTGCCGTTCTCATTGTTGAAAATCAACAATAACAGAAAAGTGATATTCTCCCATTGTAGTAAAAATGGGAGAATATAAAAAAGCCTGGTTTCTTATCCTCGAGTTTTGAGGGGCACTTTGCATAAATACAATAGCTTGTTATTGTTAACTGCACAAAGTGCTCCTCAAATTTCATGCAAATGAACCAAATCGAAATGCTTTATGGGTTGTAAGAAACCAGTGACTTGCTTTGCTCATCGTATGTGTCTCTCTCCAGTACTTCTCGTTCATTCATGAGACTAGTTAGAAAAACCTACCTTGTTTTGAAAGAGATTTTACTACTTACCCTGTTACCCTTAGATCCTGGTGGTCCTTCAATTCCTGGGTATCCCTAGAGATGAAAATTTTTTTTTGAAAAAAACAACTTTAATTGCAAAACCCAGCAAAACCTAGTTAGCCGTGCCCTGACTTTGATCAGCTCTGAAGTTGTTTCAGGGTTTATTCTGTTGATAAGCCGTGCCCTGACTTAGATCAGCCCAGTAGGTTGTTTCAGGGTTCTATTTGTGAGTTAGCCATGTACTGACTTTAATCAGCCCAACGGTTGTTTCAGGGTTCTATCTGT